CCCCAACCGCCCCCTACCCCGACCCCCCAACATGGCATGCATATTCGCCGGGACGGGTTCAATATTCCCCCTCCCGAACTCCGAAATAAAGCACCCCGCCCGACTATCTACCAGATAACGAAAAGAGGTAAATAGACGAACACAAAACACACAACACAACGTGCATTTCGTACAGTTGTCATGACTCGACATCCGCATGTGGGGGGACGTTTGATCGAACCCAAGTACGCCTGTACTCAATCGACGACTAATTGGGTGTATGCACAACATTAGCAAATATATACCCAAAAAAGGACGGCAGTACAGACAACACCTTCATGGCACCATTGCATTTCATTTCAGGAGAATACACCGAAACACACGCTGGAGAGAAAGAGGGAGCCGATTTTGATTGAACACAAAAATTCCGAAAAACAACGACATTAAAGACAACACCTTTATTACACCTTTGCATTTCATTTACGGCAAAGACACAAAGAAACAAGAGAGAGAGAGAACGAAATCGATGTCATCATGTAAAAAAGGAAAGTGCATACTGCACTTCATCGATGCCAATTACAATTCAGAGTTGACGGAATCATCCGTCCCGTCACACGATCGAGGCCAACAACAAACGAAACGAACAATGTAAAAAAAAAAACAATTTTAAAAACGAAAACAAATGTCACTGAAGGACTCATCCACCGAATCGGACCACTACCCAATTCCTTGGCCAGCACCGCCATTGGGGGAACGGCACATCGACGACGACGGCGATGGCTAAGCTAAGCTACATCGACGACGAAAAGACTATCACTTTCGCTCCGTCCAATTCCATGTAAGCGAACAGAGAGCACAACAGAGGCGACACTAAGTCTAACATTTGCCGATGGCCTTCGCTATCTCCAGCAAGGCGTGACACATAAGCTTGCTGACTTCGTCTGACGCTGCGTAGTGCTTTTTCTGCACTTCGATCTCCGCTTCCAGCGCCTCGCACTGACGTATGGCGATGGAGCAATGACGTTTGCTGTTTCTCTCCATCGTTGACGCCATTAACGCCCCGTGCTTCTCCATGCACTCCGTCATTGCCTCAAATGTTTGCTGCCTTGTGCTCTTCCTCTTGCCGAAACCGCCTGCGCCACCCGTCGTCTGCGAAGAACCTTTGGTGGACCCGTCGTCGTATCTCGTCCTAAACCGCACGATCCATATTGAAACTGAAGCCCTTCGACATCTTGTCCTTCCCAGACAATTGGAAGAAGTCCTGTTTCCCGGACAGTCCTTGGAAATGATGAACCTTCTTGAACTGCTGCATCAGATTGTCCCACTTCTTCCCGCACCGATCGGCCTCTCTGTCGACGCCCACCTTCTTCAACCTCGTCGCCACATCCAGCCACTTCCATTCTAGCGGCTTCATCCGAGCGTACGCGTGGCCCATCCCCTGCAAATGCGCATCCTGATAACGTTTAGCCTGGATGAGGGCTATAATGTCGTCGACGGACCAGAAGTGACGACCTCCTTCACCATCGACGTCACCTTCGGCATCGCTGCCCTTGCCTGCCGTCCTTTTGCCCCGACGACCATTACCGCCACACGACTTCGTCTTCCCGCCCTTCCCTCCCATAGCGGCCGCCTGCTTCGACGGCGAAATGTAGCCTGCGTCGTCCTCCCCACCTTCAGCGTCGTTGTCGTTCCAGTCGGGGTCGTGTGCGTCCCCCACTGCGTCCTCGCCGTCGTGCCCGTCTTCCCCAACACGCAATCGATGCACCCCCCGAGTTATGGACTCCTCCCGCCCCGACCTCATCAACAGTCGCTGTTCTGGCCACAGCTCCCTTCCGTCACGTGCATCACCAACATCAGCAACGGCAGGCGCCGTCTCCCTACACTCGCCAACACGGCGGCCTGCACTCGAGGTGGCGGACAGGGGAGACGGAGACTGCATCCACTGGGGGCGAGCGGAGGCACCCCTACACACAGACGACGACCGAAATTGCTGCCTAGGAGGATCCTTGTTGTTCCCCGAAGCCTCTCGCAGCGGCGCTGGAGACCTGGGTGATCGCTGAACAGCCGTCACGTCGCCGCCATCGTCGTCGGGATGGGGGCTTACGACAACTGTTCGAGAGACGGCTGCCGACCTCCCGCTGCCGAGTCCAAACGACAGATTCACGCCGCCATCGCCATCGATGTTGCTGAGCCCCTGCTGGAGGAGTTCGGTGTACGACTGCCCTTTACCGCCGTCGCGGCTTCCAAACAGCTCTGTAGCCGCCCACTCCTGGGTGGATCCGCTTCCCAGCGGCACGGTCCGTGACCGTCTATCATCCCCTTCCTCGTCGTCCGTGTCAGGTAGAGGTTGCAAGTGCGGTGGCAGGTGCGCGTACCCGAACTGCTCCGACGGCCTTAGACTATTCGACGGGTTGTGCTCGGACCACCGCCCACCGCGCTCCCCTGCGGACCCGCTGATTGCCTGTCGGCCCTCCATTCTGTCGTTGTTCTTCACAGACCTCCTTCTGCGACCATGTCGCGGAAGGCTGCCGAGGATGCACACGTGGAAGACAACCAGGAGGAGGAGCAATAGGACGATCAGCAGCAACAGCGGCAGCCTCCGAAAGACGTCGGCCTTGAAAAGCACGTGGATGACAGTGGCAGCTAGAAGACAACGGGGGATCTATCACGTAACGGCGACGGACACTGCTGCAAACGCCTGACCGCAACAAACGACAAAAGCACGGTAACGCATTCTGTTTGTGAACACATTGCGCAATCGTCCGGCCGGGGGACGGTTAAAATATTCGAATCTGGCGACCGTTGGGTGCCTTCCCGCTCGGGGACAAGGGCGGCGACGCAAGAAAGCCGCTTTTTGACGTCGTGGAAGCGACCGGGCCGCAAAAGGGGACCGTTGGCGGACTCTTCCATGACGCCGACCGTTGCCGATCGAAGATGTCCGTCCACGGGCGCCAGGAACAACAGTGGTACAGACGGTCGTCGCAAAATGTCGTCGAGAGAGCTGCCGACAACCTCGCGATTCTTCCGGATGCTCGACCTCCGAGGGACCTCGGGAGGTCCCTTGGGGAACGCGTCGAAATGGCTGTGGCCCGAGGAATCCCCGAGAAATCCCCGAGGAAATGTTTTCACATTTTCTTTTCAATTTGTTTCCCGAGGATAAGTGGAACGATCATTTCCTCGGGGGATTTACGCGCCCGAGGAGTGTGGAACGAGCCCCACTATCCTCTTAAAATTTGGGTTGATGTTCTCGTTGGCGCCATGCAGACAGGTTGTTGAGGTCACCAGCCTGCAGACAAGACGGGCGAATTAAATCAGAAGTACTTTTGACCCTTCCCCTGATGAACCTGGAAATGCTCTGAGCGGGAAAAAAAAAAAAAACTGTTGTGTCGCTTCTTTTGGCTGGTGCCGCCAGCCATATTTTGCTCCGGCAGGCCAACCCCCAAAGCTTGGGGCGTGTAGATGGCTGCGTGGAAGGAAAAAATGGCTGGGAAATATACTGGTGGTTTAAACCCAGTACGATCTTCGGTTATGAGTCTTATGACTAAACTACTATTTGCAACTGTCATTCACTCCACTACCTGCTCAGTCAATCCCCTGGTGACAAGGGCAATCAATGCGGGCAGGTCGAACTCAGTTTTTGTGATCTATAATGGGACGCTAGACCCATTTTCCAGCAGGTGCTGCTCCCCACCTATAGATTGGAGCTTTTTGTTATTAAAAAAAAGAAGAAAAAAGGTTATGGTTCTTCCAGGAAAATATCAGAAACAACAAAGAAAAACATTTTGCTAGTGAAATAAGCGTTGCGCCCATTCGACGCATTTCCATTTTTACCACTCTACCATGTGTGGCCAACATAAAAAGTAAGGCAACTTTCGGGTGATTTTTCGTGCTCATAATAATTCAGTTAAATTCACAGAAAATTCTAAAATTTTGAGGGTCCGTAGATCAGGTTGTGATTTTTTCAGGAAAAATATCAGAAAAAAATAAAATAAAAAATATTTCACCAGTCAAATCATCACCGTGCCGATTTGGCATATCTCCATTTTTTGCCACTCTACCAATTTGGCATCTTTCCATTTTTTGCCACTCTGGGACCAAGGCCAGGCCCCACACTGACCTACCGCTAGGCCACGTGCCTGTTCGAAGAAACGGCGTACCGGTCCCCTGACTTTCTAAAGGCGGGTAGAGGGGKGATTTAAGTGAAACGTCCTCCTTGTGATAAAATACGACAAACATGTAGGGTTAAAAATACTGAGTTGATAATGCTCTCCCCGAAACACGAGATAATCTTACCGACATTTGATACTATGCTTGATGATCAGTCGTGCTCGGGCATCACCAACATGAATATATTGTTTGGCCTTAAGCATGGTGAACACCAGTACGTTCTCATTACACTGCCATAAGATATGTGTCGCCTCTGCCCAATGCATCTTCTGTCGTAACTTAAGGGCACTTGGTAAGTGAGGAAGTCAACAATACTAGTGAATGACAATCTTCGACACTATTTGTTCCAGCCCACCAACCCATGCGTGCCAATTAGAGAACCACGCTCCGATACCAAATGGCAAAAAGTCGCGCAATCTATAGCAGCGATGATATAAAGTAGAACTAGCATATGAGAGTAGAGCCAAAGCAGGTTTACAAGTAGATATCATAACAAATAAAAAATACAATTATAAAAAAGTTTCTTAAGAGAAAAAAATTAACATCGCTCTTCTAATCATTATTACACCAGCAACTTTCTTGTCCTCTTAATGTTGCAAGCGGTTATACTGCCTCCCTACTTGCGCTTTCTATCTTACTTTCTTTTCCTCTCTCTTCTTTCTATCCAATCATTTACTTGTGCAACAATGCCTCTGAGGTTTACCATGATTTATGTGATCATCATCATTATCGAGTAAGTCTCACTTTTTAGCGTTGTTCTCATTCATTCATCCTCCCAAACATAAACGCTCCCTACGGAACTACCAATAGCAACTATACTTGTCGGTCGTTGGACCGTTTTATCGTACAACCCCCTTCTCCTTCTTTGGCGTCAATGCTCCTTCCTAACTTTTAGGGTTATACTATTTTTAGCAATGTATGACCAATAACTCGTACATTGAAGGATAAAAGACAACAGTGCCTTCCAAACCTTTTTTGTTAAACAAAGGAGGTCACAATAACTTTGCAGTAACTGAATCTTTCCATTCGAGAAGTTTTTGGAGAACATTGTTTCTTTGCACATGTCGTACATTTACTTTTGTTGTCCACAATTACTTAATTTTTTTCAGCTCGACCTTTCAACATGAGGGTCGGGCCTTCCTTTTGACACAAGCGGAACCTACCGGGCGTCACCGAGGCTTTGAGCCTCGCACTCTAAGCTCTAAAAATTACTTGTTTATCCTTTATCACTGAAAAATTTTAAAATAATTTTAGAAATAAAATTTAAAAGTTAACAAAATTTAAAATTAAAACCGAGAACGAGAATTACGACGTAGGTATGAGCAACAAAGTTTGAAGGAAGGAAAACAAAAACCCAAAATGAAAAAACAATATTGTGCAAAAAACCTACGTTCCCAGCTGTTCGATTGGGAGACGTCTCCCCCGAACGTCTCCTGGAGACTGTCGAGGGGGAGTTGTCCGAAAAATCGAACAACGTTTTTTTTGCCACGTGGACAGCAAAAAAAAAAGAAAAAAAAAGTGCGGGGGATCTGCTCACTGCCAGGGGACCCCTCCAAAACATTTTGGGGCCATTCCGAGCAAAAACAGAAAAAAATAGAAACAGGGTTTGGGGTGTGTGGGGGGGTGGGGTTGGGTGGTTGATTGATTGATTGATTGATTGAAAAAAAAGCGGGGAGGGCCGGCGGAGTGATCGGGTGGCCAATCACTTCGGCCCCCTTTCACTCCTCCTCCTCCTCCTCCTTCTCCTCCACCATGGTCGGGGCCTCCTACTCATTCTCCTCCCCATCCTCGTCATCTCTCCTCCTCCACCTCCTTCCCCGCTGCCACCGCCGCTGCCGCCGCCTCTTCCTCCACCCCTGTCGGGGCCTCCTCGTCCTCCTCCTCCACCTCCTCCTCCTCCTTCGTCGCCATCCTCCTTTTCGTCTTTCTCCTCATCCTTCCCCATCGCCACAGACTCCTCCTCCCCGGCTTCCTCTTCTTCCTCCTCGTACCGCCAATCCCTGTCCCATCGTCATCTCCTCCTCCACCATCGTCGGGGCCACCTCCTCCCCGGCTGCCACCGCCGCCGCTGTCGCCTCTTCCTCCTTCACCCCCGTCGGGGCCTCCTCCTCCTTCTTCGTCGTCGTCCTCCTCCTCGTCCTCCTCTTTGTCTTTCTCGTCGTCGTTCTTCTTCATTGCCACGGCCTCCTCCTCCCCCACTTCTTCTTCTTCCTCCTCGTCCCGCCAATCCCTGTCCGCCTACTCGTCGTTCTCCTCCCCATCCTCACCGAATCGATAACGTCTCCTCCTCCCCCGCTTTTTTTTTTTTTTTAATCCGTTCAATCAATCAATCAATCAATCAATCAATCAATCAATCAATCAATCAATCAATCAATCGATCGATCGATCGAAGATCACATCGAATTGATTGATTCGATAGGATCTTGACATATGACATATCAAGATCCTATCCAATCAATCGATTCGATGGGATCTTCGATCGATTGATTGATTGATCGATTGATTGATTGATTGATTGATTGATTGATTGATTGATTGAAAAAAGAGCGGGGAGGGCCGGCGGAGTGATCGGGTGACCAACCACTTCGGCCCCCTCCCACTCCTCCTCCTCCTCCTCCTCCTCCTCCTCCTCCAACATCGTCAGGGCCTCCTCCTACTCCTTATTCTCCTTCCCATCCTCGTCATCTCTCCTCCTCCACCTTCCCCCCCGCTGCCACCGCTGCCGCTGCCGCCTCTTTGTCCTTCAGCCCCGTCGCGGCCTCCTCCTATTCCTCGTCCTCCTAGTCTTCTTCTCCTTCTTCCTCCTCCTCCTCCGCCTCTTCTTCTTCGTCGTCCTCATCTGCCGCCGTGGCCTCCTCCTCCTCCTCCTCCTCCACCTCCTCCTCCTCCTCCATCATCGGGCCCTCCTCCTCTTCTTCCTTCTCCTCTTCTTCCTCCTCCTCTTCTTCCTCCTCCTCTTCTTCCTCCTCTTCCCACTCCTCGTCCTCGTCGTCGTCGTCCTCCTCCTCCTCCTCCGCTTCTTCTTCTTCCTCCTCTAAGTTCTCTCCCTCCTCCTCCTCTGTCTCCATGGTCTCCTCCTCCTCCACCTCTTCTTCCTCCTCCTCCTCCTCCTCCTCCTCCTCCTCCTTATTCTTCGTCGTCCTCCTCTGTCTTCCTCCTCGTCCTTCTCCATCGCCACGGCCTCCTTCTCCCCAGATTCTACTTCTTCCTCCCCGTCCCGCCAATCCTTGTCTCGATACTCGTCTTTTGTTTTTGTTAACGGCCTCCTCCTTCCCTGTTTTTTGTGTTTTTTTTTTTTTTTGTCCGATCAATCAATCAATCAATCAATCGATTGATTGATTGATTGATTGATTGATTGATTGATTGATTGATTGATTGAAAAAAGAGCGGACAAAAAAAAAAAAAAAAGTTGGAGAGGAGGAGGAGGAGGCGGAGGAGGCGGAGGAGTAGGAAGAGGAGGTGGAGGAGGAGGCCACGACGATGGAGGAGGAGTAGGAGGGAGAAAACTTAAAGGATGAAGAAGAAGAAGAGGAGGAGGAGGAGGAGGAAGAAGTAGATGTGGAGGAGGAGGAAAACTAGGAGTAGGAAGAGGAGGAAGAAGAGGAGGAGAAAGAGGAGGAGGAGGAGGAAGAAGAGGAGGAGGGGGTGGAAGAGGAGAAGGAGGACGAGGAGGAGGAGGAGGAGGACAATGAGGAGGAGGAGGAGGAGGAGGAGGACAAAGAGGATGATGAGGAAGAATAGGAGGAGGGCCCGATGATGGATGAAGAGGAGGCCACGACGACGGAGGAGATGAAAAAGAAGAAGAGGTGAAGGAGGAGGAGAAGGAGGAGGAGGAGAAGGAGGAGGAGGAGGTGGAGGAGGAGAAGGAGGACGACGACAACGAGGAGGAGGAGGAGGAGGAAGATGAAAAGGAGGAGGAGGAGGAGAGGAGAAGCGGAAGGAGGAAGATAAGAGAGCGGAAGGAGGAGGAGGAGAGGGAGGGGGGGGGAGAAGGAGGAGGAGGAGGTGGACGAAGGGAAGGTGGCTCACCTGATGTGGGCGGGCGATGCCGCGTGGGGTTGCGCTCGTGGACCTCTGAGTTCAGCAATGGCAACACCGAACTCCGGCGACAGCGCGTGGGGGAAAACGTCACTGCCCCCATTTCGAATTTGAAAATATCCCAATCTGGGTAGTCGATCTCGTAGATTTTACGGCCCAGATTAGACCTTTTTTCGCTTTTGGAGGCCCTACCGGCCTCCAACAATTCTTCCCATCGGTGCACCGGGTTCGCCTGTCCCCGTAGTCCACCCCTGCGCCGCCCAAGTCCGTATCCTAAACCCCCCACTATTTGTTTTTCGATCGGACGCAGGGCCCCCAGCGGACAGCCGACCGGTTGCCCGATCGGACAGTCCCGAACGGTCAGGGGAGTCCCGGACATCCGATCAGGTAACATAGCAAAAAACTAAGAAAACTAGCGTGTTATCGTAAATTGAACATAATCATTTACGTTTAAGTGTGTCAACTTGTCTCATAAATCTATGATGCAACAATCACAACTATCTATGTTTCCAAAACTATAGAAGAATGGAAGTGTGCAAGCAAAATACATATATATAATTAAAAAAAACGTATCGGACTAGGTTGTTTTTTCGGGGCTCGAACACCCAACTTGTGTTCAGGTACATGCCCGGGTGCCCGGTTGGGCAGGCCCGACCGGGCGTGACAATCATCCTAGGTATGAGAAAGAATCCTTTTTAACACAAGTTTGAACACTGTGGGGTTGATTATATTTAAAATTAACCTGAATCCGTCGCTTAATGGTGGAGTGAATTGGATGATTGGGAAGGTGGAGAAGATGGCAGATAAACATTGTTTTTAACAAATATATATATATATTTTTAATGTTATATATTATTTTCTTACTAGGTTTTTTACCGAGTTTTCAATATTAAAAGTTCATTTTCAGTTGTAAATCTTGCAGTAAGTTAGTATAATTTGAAGCAAAAACATCTTAAGAATAATAAATATATTTGAGAAATAACACAAAAAGTTTGAGTTCATGTATCCTCCATTAAATTGATTTTTCAAGAGAAGTATTTTAAGAACTATAAATACATTTGAGAAATATGACAAAAATTTTGAGTTCATGTATCCTCCATTAAATTAATTTTCTTAAAACATGTTTTTCCTTTCATCATCTAAATGACAACTTTCACTGGTAAATTCATCTGTGGAATTTCGTAATATATAGTACGAAAAACTATGACATGTTACTTAGAGGTAGTATGATTGTTTTTTTTTGTTTAGTGATCATCTCTTATTTAAATAAAACATTGAACTTATGTTTCACAAAGTTTAAGTCAGGTAAGAACCCCTATATGATTTTCGTATTTTATTTTTACGACCTAATCTTTAAACCACCACTACCTTTCACTGATAAATGTAAAGTCCATATTGTAACTACAAGTTGGAATTTATTGCGTCGAATAGACCCCACACCCGTTGTTGAGATTTGAATAAAATCAACACGAAGAAAAAAAAAAAAGTCTCTGACAGCTACTACATCCGTAATGTCCGAAAATGTCCCCACCGAGGGCATAGTATCACTTGTAGTTGTCATAATGCATGTGGCCACTACTATGGGAACATGATTTATTTATTTTTCTTTTTTTTACTTATAATGTCATGCGAGTCAGGCAGGGCGTAGTCCACGGAGCAACAACACCCTCACCTCGACTACAATGACACTAGTACTGGAGCACCATGTATCTGACTGCTATCACAATACTGGAATGCTATTGTTTTTTTTTTAATTCTTTTTTTGTTGTCTCGAAATGACGCCCTCACTAAGGGCAATATCACACTAGCACTTCATAGAATGCACGTGAAAACAATCATGGCCTTATTGATGTTTTTTTTTTCTTTTTTCTTTTTTATTGGTACCAGGAAAGAAAAATGGGATGGTGTTGTACAAATGTCAAATTCAGCAAAACCTAGTACGCAATGTTAGGGTTTCTAGGCAAAAAGAGCCTCAGAGGTAGTGATGGTTTAATATGTTAAAAAAAAAAAAAACTTACAAGAATCCTTAAAGTGTACAATAAAAACACATATACAAAAATGTACGCAAAAGTGAGTTTAGATTGTCGCAACATTTAATAGTTTAAGCAAAGTTTAAAAAAAGGATAAACCTTTTGAACCCTATCTTTATGTAGACAACCATTATCATCATACCCATCCTAATCCTGATAAGATTTATAATTAAACAATATTTATACTGTACTTAAACCAATAACGTCAAAGTTATTTCTCTCAGTCAAACTTTTTTTCCCCTCGGTCAAATCTCCTCACCGCTCAACAAACCTTTTAATTACCTTGCCTAATCTACCTGATTAGTAAAGCAGGACACAAACCTCTTCATATCACTGTGAGATGCCGAAAACATTTTTTCATATAGCCTATATTTATTCCATATTTGGCCTATTCCTCACCTACTGGATAAGATTTATCATGGTTAACTGTGATCGACATAAAATACCAGGGAAGTTAGTTGACATTTTTAAACGCCATGTTTTGTTCATTTTCCACAATTTGTAAAAGTAAGTTTTAAGTTTATCAATATCTCCTTTGACGTTATTTTATATAGCAACACACCCTTTATTTCATCCCTACTAAGTAGTTTCAAAGAAAAGTCAGTTATGATATATTTCTTTACTTTAGCTACTTCACATGGGCTACCAGACCTGCACAGGCCCAGGCTGGTCAGGCCCAATCCCCGAGTGACCCGGGCAAGTCCAAAATCCGGGCAATTTTTTTTTTTTTTTTTTTTTTTTTTTTTTTTTTTTTTTTTTTTTTTTTTTAAAGGGGGCCTAATTTGTGCTCACTAAGACCTCTCAGAATTCACAATGTTTTGATTTTTTGGTTCGTCTAGGTTCAGGCCTGGGGGGGTGGGGTAGGGGGAAGACGAGGAAGAGAAAGAAGGGTGGAGGAAGAAGAAGAAGAAGAGAGGAGGAGGAGGAAGACCCGCCCATCCTGACCTTTTCCCCCATCCCGACCCTCCCAACCAATCCTCCTGCTCGACTTTCCTGCCGTTGCCCCAACGCCGGCATCCTAATCCCCCCGACCCTCCTGCCCGACCTTCTCCACACCTGTCTATCCCAACCTTTCCCCCGTCCTGCGCGTTTGCCCCATCCCGACCTTTCCCCCATCCCCACCATTCCCCCATCCCGACCTTTTTCCCACATCCCGACCTACCCGCTCATCCCGACCCTTCCACCTAATCCCCCTGCTCGACCATCCGTTGTTGCCCCTGCCCCCGCTCCCGCCCGACCCTCCTGCCCTTGACCCCACCCCACAATCCTGACCCTCCTGACCCTCATGCCTTACCTTCCTGGCCCTCCCGACCCTCCCGCCCGTGACACCGAACCCGTCCCACCCGCCCATCCCGCCCTTTTCCGGACCTCACCCCACCCGCCCACCCCGCTCTACCCTCTCGCTCGACCCTCCCACCCACCCATCGCGACCTTTCCCCAACCCCATCCCCCCCGCCCACCCTGCTCAACCCTCCCACTTGACCCTCCCGCTTGACCCTCCCAACCGCCCATCCCGACCTTTCCCCGACACTCCCGCCCGACCCTCCCTACCTGCCCCCTGAGCCTCCATCCCGACCCTACGACTCGACCTCGGCCCTCCAGGCCAACCCTCCTAAGCGACCCTCCAACCCCACTCTACTGCCCGAGGAACCATAAGAAGAAGAAGAAGAAGAAGAAGAAGAAGAAGGAGAAGAAGAAGAAGAAGAAGAAGAAGAAGAAGAAGAAGAAGAAGAAGAAGAAGAAGATAAAGAGACGAGAAAGAAACGACGACGAAGTAGTAGACGAAGAAGAAGAAGAAGAAGGGAGGAGAACGACGACCAGGAAGAGGGGAGGAAGACAAAGAAGAACAGTGTAGAGATGGAAAAAGAAGTGGAAAAAGAAGGGAAGAGGAGGAAGAAGAGGAGGAGAGGACGAGGGAGGAGAAAAACAAGAGAGGTGGAAAAAAAATATGAAGAGGGGAGGAAGAGGAAGAAGAAGAGTATAGCGATGAAAGAAAGACGAGGACGAAGAAGAACCTAGAGGAAGACGAAGAAGAGGGGAGGAGGAGGAAGAAGAAGAAGCTAGTAGGAAGAAGAAGACGAAAAAGAAGGCGAAGAAGAATAATAAGAAGAAAACGAGAAAGACAAAAAAGGGAGGATAACAAAAAGAAGAAGAGGGAAGGAAAACGAAGAGGGGAGGAAAAAGTAGAGGGAGGACCCGATACGGTTAGCGACCACGCGACTTTCTGCGCATGGTTACTTGAGGGGTTGAGTGAGTGAGGAGGAGGAGAGGGCCTGACATGCTGCATGAATGCCCTCGTCCTTTTTTTTGGGTTTTGAGGCTGGTATGACCATGCCTTAGCGAGCACGAAGAATAACTGTTGCCATAGCTTAGTTCTTGTTCTACAGTGGGAATGGGGAATCCTGACTCGATCGTCTCACGAAAAATCTTTTTGAATTTTAACTAATGTCGAACCCCTGTGGGCTCTAGGAATTTCTTTTCTTGTATTTCCTTTTTGCAATTAGGACTTAGGCTAGGAATTTGGGTACATTACGATGCTGCCGACAGCTACACTGCGCTTCTTGTTTGCGTGCACTTCACCACGTCAGGGTATGTACTCTGGTTTCTCTGCGCCTTAATCTTGTGTGTAACTGTAATTCTCTTCTTGGCGAGCGCAGATGTAACTATAATTTTCTCTTTCTTGATATCTTCGCGCGTTCTTATTCTTCCTAATCCTATTGGCCTAAGCGATGCATGACTAGATCGATGCGTGGAGAGTGGCTACGTCCACCACGCCGCAGCCTGGCCATGCAGACGTAGGCACTTCCTTCCTCCTCCTTCCTTCCCTCTTATACACGATCCTGGGTATCTCACACAAGCATGCATGCTATAAATTCCGCAAGCCTAATTAATTCCCGCTCTATGAACTTTTGGAGTTAGCGAGGTCAAGAGGATCGACTAACAAGCAAGTGTTGGAAGGTGAGTCGAGAGTTGGGCGATCCGACGGGCTGGTGCTAGGTATGCGGGGTTGACGTGGGGCCGCGACGGACTTTGGCGCACGGGCGAACCTGGCTTGCATCCCCGGACTAAGCGGGGTGACAACTCTATTTGGGTGCGAGGCAACGGACTGCCCGCCTCAGGATGTTGTGAAGAAAGAGAGAGAGAGAGAGAGAGAGAGAGAGAGAGAGAGAGAGAGAGAGAGAGAGAGAGAGAG